TGGCTGGCCTTCGATCGAGCCGCGACTGGGAAGAAGGGTGGGAGACTAGCTCGGTTTAGGTGAAATAAGGTTTAAAATAAAGATTTCTTTTATTTTTATTATTATTTTTTATTTTATTATATTATTTTATTTAAGTATATTAATTAACGTGCGATTTATTTGTGCCCCTAACAAAGTGGGTATCCTTCCTGTGTAAAATTGACACTCCGGACGTGCCGGCGCAGTCCGTTTCATCATTCAAATTCGTTTTAACGAATTCATTGCTTTGTGTGTGATTTGCTCGTGTGCGGAATTATAACAATATGAGTGTCATTTTTAGGTAAAACCAACATCTCAGACGCACTAACGCAATCCGTTTCGTCATATGGTATCGTCCGGACAATCTCGTCGACGATCGGGTAAAAAATGCGTCAAATTCGATTTGTCTTCAAATTTCAGGTTCTTTATCGGTTATTTAAAAAATTGAATTATGTTCCAATTAATTGTGAAGTTTTTACAGGTGTAGGTGGCGCGAATTGTGGTATTTATGTGTGCGAATATACTAAGGTCTTTGTGGGTGTCCTAAGGCTTTTAAACGCTACAGGATCTCTCTTTGGGCCTCCGCATGATGATCCTTAACCACTCGACCAAATGATGATGGTTTGAGATCACCCATGCGAGACACCACAAGAGAATCAGGAAGTGGCTTGAATTTCTAAGAGGTGTGGGTCTCATCACTAGACCTCTATGATGGTCAATAGAAAATCCTAAGGCTAGATGCTAGGCTCTATGAAGAGGAAGAAAAATCCTCAGAAAAATGAGGTCAACAACTGTTCAAAGTGATAGTGATATAGATAGGGATGTTATTAGCTAGAGATATAGATAGGGATGTTATTAGTAGAATTCAAGTTGGTTGGTTGATGTGGAGGAATGCATTGGGCCTATTGTGTGATAGAAAAGTACCACTTAAACTTGAAGAAAAGTTTTATAAGATGGTGGTGAGACTTGCAATGCTTTATGGTGGAACATGTAGGCCCTTAAAAGAGAAACATAAAACAAAGTTAAGCGTTGGTAAGATGATAATGCTTAGGTGGATGAGTGGCTTGACACTTTGAGATAAAATGCGAAATGAATTTATCTATGATAGGGTTGGTGTAGCTCTAGTAGCAGACAGGATTAGAGAGAGCCATCTTAGATTGTTTGGTCACATAAAACGTCGACCATCTGATGATCCGGTTAAGAGAGTAGATATGTTAAGAGAGTGATCCGGTTAAGAGAGTAGATATTTTAAATTCGACTTATGTTAAGAAGACATAGGTAGACTTAAAAATAATTGGGCATATTGTTTAAAAAATGATCTTAATATATTAGAATTAAATGAAAATATGGCACTCTATAAGAGAAAATGGATTCATGTAGCCGACCCTACTTAGCAGGATAAAAGCTTGTTGCTATTTAGTTTATTTTGTTATATATATTATTTGTATACAAATCTTTCTTTTGTGAGCATTAAACAAGTTTATGTATTTATTTATCATGTCTTGTGTTGTCGGAGTGAGGGTGCATTGCCTTCATCATCTACAACATGACATGGCGCTGGATAACCAACAAAATGTAGTTGGATGACATACAACACACCAGTTGAATAAAATTTTCTAAATCACAAAGTTTCTTAGTCCACCGTGAATACATGTTAGATTCCCTTCTTTCATATGCCACACCTTGCACCTTGTTTAGCTATTTTATAGACTCAATAAATCAAAGGATCTCTTGAATGTAAATGTTTAAATGGTCGGAGATTTTTCTTATATTTTGTTGCTGGTTCTGTTTTTAATCATTGGTCATGTTTCAGCTGGTAACCATCTTGGATCATCTTCTCAAGTGTCACCGCCTACTTGCCTGGTTATAGTTTTCTCTCATGTTTTTGCTGATGTTCTAGTTTTCTAATCTTGCCAATGGTTTGCTTGATCCCCTTTAGGATTAAGTTCTCAATTGATTCCGCCTACTTCCCCGCAAAGCCCACTATCTATTCAAAGCACAGGTCAAAACCAAACCAATGTAACTGGCACGCCTCTCAAGAAACATCATCATTCATACCTGCTGACGCTAATTCCAGCAGTTGGGGTTGTGGTTATTACGGTGGCAGTTCTCTTACTGCTAATTCTCTTAGTACTTATTCAGAAGAAAATTAAGGAATTAAAGTTTTCAGATGATCACATTGAGAAATCAAGGCGTTCTTCACCCCTACAATCCGTCTACAAATGTCAAGATGGTATGTGAATTGAGTTTCTGCAGTTCTATATGTAATCTTGTTTTAAAAGTTTTTTAGTTATTATTTTTTTTACGTAGTCTTGATAAAAATTTTTGATGTATTTTTTAAAATTTTGTTTAAACATTTTTGATGTATACAAATGCATTGATGAATTTGTGCAGGTTTTACTGTTGGATTCATTATTTTTCAGAAAACTCTATCGTCTATTAACCTGGATATCTATTGCCTTCCTTTAATATCTGAAGGCTTATATTATGTTTGCAATGTACAACTAATGCTAAATAGTTTTCATAGATCTGGATGTCAATGTAGGAGACAAACTGATTGGTTAGCGCAGATCATGTTTGCTTCCATCATGGCTCATGCTGACATGAATCACATTGTTTAATACTCTTTCGCTTGTGGCCCAGTTTTGTCTGTCAAGCCTAGAGGTGATCCTAATGAAAGTATAATTTAGCTTGCATAATATATCCATCTAATGAGATAATAATTTCCTGAGATTATCAGCACAAAATATTTTTCCGGTAAAAAAAAATATCAAGTATATTTTTCTATGTACTTTTCATTTCTTTCCCGACTTTAGTACTAGCCTATTGTCCATAACTAGCGGCCAAAAATAGATTATTGATACGTTGAAGAAAGAGTTGTTTGAGGACTTGTCATTCTTTTCCTCAATCTTGCTGAGATTTCATATTTGCAGGATGCTTATGTAGAGACTAATTTTGTGATTACAAATTAACTTGCATTTTTCTTACCTAAGCTTATAAATGCATGTAGTTTCAGTGTATAAGCTTGGGAATTGATTGATCTATTATTTCTTTTAGTGATTCTAAGGCAATTCTAGGGTTGATTATTGTTCACACAACTTTTGTTTTACTCGACTTCTGGTCCTCACGCAACGCATGTCCAGATTGGACAAATTAGTTGAAGTTTGGCGTGACTATCTCATGGTTTTTTATCATCAACATAAAGGGCGTGCTTCATGGCGTAACATTAGATGGCACAAAAAAATTTTATATCCTTAATTGAATCACAATGCATAAACATTCTGTCCATGAATAATGGACTTCATTTTATTTTTGGGAACATTTTTTAGTTTGATTGCTGGAAACTGACTTCTTAGACATGAACCTGCATCTTTTTAGCAGGATACGGTGAACTAACGTTTTGGCTAGATGGTTTTATTATGATTTTATTTGGAATTAATCTAGGTGAAAGGTTACTGATAGATAAGGTCGTTGTAGGATTACATGCATGGAGCTAGAAGTCATCTTTGCACTTTTACATATGGTGCGCCACTAGGTTTATCTAAGCTTGTGTTGGCTCGACATTTTTTATATCAGCATATTGTCACACTTCGCTTATTTCAAGAATAATTGACAAACTAACAATGAGAAAAAAAACTCTAGAGAAAACTAGAATGTAGAGAGCAATCAAAGGGCCTCTAAAAGATTTTACGACATTCTAGAAAAACTAGAAAGAAGGAGAATATTTCAAGGAATTCTAAAAGCTTTCACATAATTCAAAGTTTTCACATAATTCCAGAAATATGCTGAAAGAAGAAAGCTTCAAGAAAACTATAGAATATTCTGGAAAGTTCTCGAAACATATACATGTAAAGAGCAATGTAAAACTATCTAGAAGATAGTATATTCTAATGTAATCTAGAAAGTTCCCTTAGCCAGAAAGTTCCCTTAGGCTTGGGGAGGACTATAAATGGAAGTCTCTCCCCTCATTTGGATCCATCCAAGAACCATTCAAGGTTTCGAAGCATTTAAGTGTTGTAACCACTCATTTTTAGTGAAGTATTTCCTTTTTCCAATACTTCTCTCTACTCTTCTTATTAGAATGTTTTGTGCTTACAAGCTTAAGCGTTGTGAGAGTTAGTCTGATTTAGTGTCGAGGTAGAGCGCTGAGGCTGCACGGGTGACTTGAGATAAGTTAGTTCATGACAGTTGGTATTAGAGCATTGGTCGAACGTATAATAAAGAGCGTTAAAGAGCACTTAATGGAGCCTGAAGCCACTGTTGTGGAATCATCTCAACAAGGGCGAGGTCGTCAGGAGCAAAGAGATCTGGCTGCATCTAAACCACATGAGAGGTCGAAGGAGATCATTCATGGCTTTGGTTCGCGCCTTGCTCGAGTGGAGGAGGCAATGAATGACATGGAGGCCCATATAGAGGATCTTGGCTAAAAGGCGGATGGACTCGAGGAGGACATCACCATCCATTTAACGATCAAAGGTATTATACTCCAACTGGAGGAATCCTTAAGACCAAATGACAAAGAAGCGAGAGGACTTGATGGGGGAACTTCGATCTCATGACGAAGAGATGAACAACATACGTGCTAGCTTGGAGGATTTGCTTGGAGACAACTTTATGCAAGAGAGCACTAGTGGCATCCACCAAGGAGGACTTGATGGGGGAACTTCGATCTCATGAGGAAGAGATGAACAACATACATGCTAGCTTGGAGGATTTGCTTGGAGACATAACTTTATGCAAGAGAGCACTAGTGGCATCCACCAACCACCATACTTTCGAAGCTAAGTGCATTGAGGTTCCAAAACCTAAGTGTTTTGGAGGAGCTCACAACGTGAAGGAAGTGAATAATTTCTTATGGAGGCTTGAGCAATACTTTGGAGCGATGGAAATTACAGGTGAAGATGCAAGATTTCAATTTTTCACTCTTTTATTTCTCATACATTAATATATTGTGGTGGAGAAGAAGATGAAGAGACATCGAGAAAGACATGTGCATCATATCCACCTTTGACGACTTCAAAAGGGAGCTAAAGAGGCAATTCTACCCAGAGAACGTAGAGGATGAGGCTAGAGCCCGGTTTCGAAAGCTCAAACAAACAGGATCGATTAGGGAATATATTAAGGAGTTTGCTAGCCTGGTCCTTAAAATTCCCGACATGTCTGATAAGGATGCTTTTTTCAACGTTATAGATAAACTTCAACAGTGGGTGAAGACTGAGCTTAGGAAGTGCGGAGTGCAAGATCTTGCCACTGCCGTCGCGGTCGTCGAAAACCTAATTAATCACTCAAAAGAGTCTACGCTTAAAGATAAGAGGAGTACCTATGTCAAAGGTGGGGAAGATAAAGATCAACACAAGGAAAAGACCCACCAAAAATTGACCTCATCTAAGGCAAAAGGCAAAGGGAAGCCTAATAAAAACAAAACTAAACCACACAAAAACTGTTTTTTTTTTGTGGATCTCATTGAACAAAAGATTACCCTCAGAAGAAAACTCTAAACGCTCTCCTTGCTAGCCATCAGGTGGAATAAGGTGGTGATATGACAACACAAGTAGGGTATACAATTGCTGAATGAGATACAAAATCCAACAAAACCCCAAGCAAAGGGGTGACTCTAAACGCTCTCCTTGCTAGCCATCAGGAGGAATAAGGTGGTGATATGACGACACAAGTAGGGTATACAATTGCTGTATGAGATACAAAATCCAACAAAACCCCAAGCAAAGGGGTTACTCTTTGTGGAGTGTAATAAGCGAGAAGACCACAAGAACAATGGTGGACACGGGTGCTTCTCTCAACTTGATCTCCGTCGAAGAAGCAAAAAGATTGGGTTTGGAGATGACTAAAGGAGGAGGTTCCATCAAGGTGTTCAGTTTAGCGGTAAGACTAATCAATGGAATATCCAGTGGAGTAAAGACTAGTATTGGAACGTGGTCAGGTACTTCAGATTTTTTTTTTCATTTCACTAGATGATTTTAAAGTTGTTCTAGGGTTAAACCTCTTGGAGCAAACAAGATGTTCCCAATACGTTTTGCCAATAGCATGTGCATCATGAAGGGCACCAAGCTTGCCTAGTACCGACAACAAGAACTTGCAAGCAAGAAGCCAAAATGCTATCGCCCATTCAATTCAAGAAGGGCATCCAACGAGATAAGGAGAGCTACTTGGCTAGTCTGCATGAGTCTAGTGAAGAAGAAAAGCCCCAAGATGACATGTTAAGTGAAGTGGTGCATTGCTTGATGAATATAAATTTGTTTCTCCACCAGAATTACCAAACAAACTACCACCAAAGAGGAAGATAGATCAACTGGCCTAGCTGGAACCAGGGATTGAGCCGCTAGCCATGAAACCTTGTTGTATGGTACCCCTCTTTGCTTCAATTAGGTATGACAAAGAAAGCCCAAACTTCTTCAAATTCGCCAAATCCTGGAACAAGTAGAAAAAGTTAGCTCAAGCTTTATTACATAAGGCTGCAAGAAGAATGAAGAAGTGGATAGACAAGAAAATGAGACATGAAGACTCATGAAAAAAGAAAAAACTGTCAGTTTAAGTGGATGCCGCAATGAGGGCATTGTGAGCTTAAATGGGGGAGCTCTCCCATCTTTAAGAATAATTGACAAGTTAACCATGAGGAATGAAGATTCTAGAGAAGGCCAAAATATAGAGCGCAATTTAAGGGACTCTAGAAGATTCCATGACATTCTAGAAAAAAACTAGAAAAATGGAGAATATTCTAAGAAATTTTAGAAGGTTTCACATAATACCAGAAATATGCTGAAAGAAACAAACTTCAAGAGAACTCTAGAATATTCTGGGAAGTTTTGGAAGCTTGTATATGTAAAGAACAATGTAGAACTATTTAGAAGATTATGTATTCTAATGTAATCTAGAAAGTTCCCTTAGGCTTAGAGAGGTCTATAAATAGAAGTCCCTCCCCCTCATTTGGATCCATGCAAAAATCATCCAAGGTTCCTAGGCATTCAATTGTGGTAATCACTCTTTCTTAGTGAAGTATTTTTTTCTCCTGTACTTCTCCCTAGATTTTTTTGTGCTTACAAGCCCAAGTGTTGTGAGGGTTAGACTGATTTAATCTCACCTATAGGTAAATTTAGTCAAACAAGGCAGAGGTGTCACAGACTAACTTATCTCTAAATCACAGACTAACTTATCTTGTTAAGTTTCACTTCTGGCTTGTTTGACTAATTTTACCTGCAAGGGAGACTAAATTCATAC